GTTTCTCAGTGAATGTGTCCTGGCTGCGATCGAGTTCCTTCCAAATCTACCGATTTGGAATCTGCCACAGAAAACAATGTTTTGTGAAATGTAATTTTACTGTGTATGCAGTAAAGCATAGTGTATAAACAGTAAAACATATACATATAGTAAAACATATATAGTAAAACACATACAGTAAAGTATATTGGATAAATAGTAAAACATATATACCTCAGTGTGTATGTGTGTGTATATATATATATGTATGAAAAGTTCCCAGCCTTTCTCATAAAAGTTCTTTCCTGGTGGACTTGAATGGAATATTTCAATGTTTCCTTTCCATCTGCTTGTGAATCAGTCAAGATCCATTGCTTTTATATAAATAATTTATTGCCACTAATTGTTTATATAAAATGGAAGAATAAGGGACTTAGGAAGAAATGTTGAGAGTAAACAAAAGGCTTTTAAGAGTCTGTATTGGAAATTGCTCAGAAAAGCAGTTTGGAATTTTATTTTTTTTTTTAGAAATCTTCCAGTTTATTCTGCAGCAGGGAAAATTTCAGCATTCCAGAAATGAAAAAGGCCACCTGTTTGTCTGCAGCTGTCCTGCAAAACAGCACGGTGCCACTGGCAACTAATAATATCTCCAGCTCGCGGAAGCGGCATGCACTTGGCATTTTATTCAGCGTTCTGTGCAGACATACAGCTTGGCTTGCTTTTGTTTTCCCTGAGTTTATCTGTATATCTCATCCAGGCCATGCCGTAGCATATCTGACAAATGATGGCTCTGCAGTGATAAGCTGCAGGTCTGATTTGCGGCATGGATACAGTGAGAATATTTTGTATACTATTGTGGCAGATGAAAGGAATGGAAGTGGGCCAAATTCAAGCTGTTTGCCATTGCATCTGATCAGCAGATCCTATGGAGAGAATTTGCCTGCTGTGAATATTTGATTCTTGCTAGCTTGAACTATCTTGTGTGTTGGCAGTGCTACTGTGTGAATTTGCGGTGACTTTCCAGGGTGTCTGTCCTGCACAATTGCCAGTTTCTGTGGGGTTTTTTTTACAGAGTTCAGAATTTTGTGCTCCACTTCGTGTGTGAGGAAATTGACTTAATGCTGTACAGTGAACATTTTTTCATATTTATGACACACGAGTTATCAGTCTTTTAAAAACAGCAGAAAAAAATGATTACAAGTGAGCAGCGTATAATTTTTTCCTCTCTCCCTCCACCTTTGTGGAGATGTAACCCCTCTGCCTCCCATTCTCTCTGCGTTACCTGCAGGTGGTTGTCCTGGCAAAGTGATTTTGTAAAGGTGAGTCTGTCAGGTTACACATCAGAAAGGATGAAAAGGTGACGATGTTGAAATGTGGTTGTGAGAGCAGGAGCAGCTTTCTGTTCCTTCCCATGCATCTTGCTGACTCCGTTCTTGGGGAGTCAGTGCCCCACACCCCTGTTTGTCAGTCCCTGCTCCTCCGCAGCCCTTCTTGCTGGTTCATGGTTGGCTTTGCCCGAGAAGTTGTAATGTTTTGTGTGTTGCTTAATTTTTCGATTCTGAAATTCAATATAGCAAAACATTTACATTAATAATTTTTGCATGTCTAATGCTTGCAAGTAAATGACATTGCTTATAGTGCTGATGTAACAGTAACTGTCAGGACTCTGCTTAGGCAAGCAGAAAAGGGTTGAGGTTTAACCTACCACTGTATCCTGTGCTTGTGTCCTCTGTTTGTCACCACACTGAAGCGTTTGTCTTCTGTAAGCAGCCTGTTTAGAGTTCATGTCATTTAAAGAAAAAACATAGATAAAATTTTAGTTATCTATAGATTATAGATTTATAGATGCAAGCTGTTATAGGCAAAAAATAGATGAAATTTAGAAAAGGAATTTAGACTGTAATCTGTAAGCTCACTTTTTTTCCGGGTGTACAAAGGACAAAACCCAGAAGAAGATGTTCGGTTTAATAGTCGTGTGGACTGAAACCAGCAGGAGCCAGAAGGAGCCAGTTGCAAGTCCCCTGGGGCTGTAGGAGATGATGTGCTGACCAAGTGACCCATCCTCCGTCTACTCCAATTCTGCAACTGCAGCATGTAACCACTCAGAGAAAGGCAATATCATCTCCATTTAATGTATGGGGGCAATTGTGTGTTAGTGCCTTGTAGGGGCTGCTGAGGGGACTGAATTCTGGTTGTGTCTTTTGAGACGACTGTAAAAGATACTGCCCTGTTAGCTGAGGCACGGCAGCTGGCCATGCTGTGATCCTTGCCATTGCAGCATGACCCATTTGCATGACCTATTTAACTCTGTCAAGTTGTAAGGAGCTGGGCGTCCACTTTAGGTGTGTGTTTTCAGTCCCTTATTTAAGGTGAGGACGTTTTATATACATTGCTGCTTGTAAACCTTTTTTTCAAGTTTCTTCAACAGCAACAAAGAAGTGGTACTTTAGAATAGGTGACTACAAAAAATGGGTAGTTACAGCAAACAGATATGGAACTATAATTTCTCTCGAAAGATATAAGCAAAATTTTCTGAGAACTGAAGAAACTAGGACTTGGCCAATGCAAGGTGTAGTAATCGTGAGAAAAAGCTTTGCTGGGAGCTGGGTCTTAATGATGAGACTCCTTTCTCCTTTTAGTGACTTAGGAGTGTTGTTCTCCAGTGTCTTCATAGAACTAACAAGTAGGAATTTCAACTGTACTTGAGCAAACCAGGAAACGTTTAGTTTTGCAGTAGTAGGAGGTACATTTTAGCTTGGGGATAGGCAGCCTAGGCAAGTTTACCTGATTATCTGTCACTTGAAAACAATTTATTTGTTGTTTGGGTTTTTTTAAATCCTTTTAAACAAATTGCTGTATTTAGGACCATTGGGAAATAAAAACTATGAGACTGTTAACAAAAACAAAAACTTCTTTCGATGCTCACTGATTGCATCTTGTTGGTATGCGTGGTTATTCATGCCCGTACAAAATACCAGCTTTCTGAGAAAGTGTTTGGGTGATGGTGTTAGTGACTGTTGGCAAACATTAGTTTTATGACAACCATCAAAATAAAAACATGTACAAAAACAGGCATAGGGTTGTGACACCGTGGGTTTTTTTTTTTTGAGAAGTGGGCATTTGTTCATCAACAGAACAACCAAGTTTCCAAACTATGTGACTGCCAAATGGATGATATTTTTGTTACTGCTTATTGTAACTTGGATGTGAACTTTTGGCATAAAGATGGGTGCAATTAGTTATCCCCGGAGTTCCCCCTCCTTTGATTGTTTTCTAAACCTATTAGGTTACTGTGGCCTGTATGTCCTGTATGTTTTTCTTAGGAAGTGTTGTTAGGAACTTTTTTTTTTTAATGCTTTTGCATTTTTTTAGATTTACACATCTCTCTACCCACCATTTAGAAGTGACCAGAACTGTCCTCAATCAAAGGCTAAACACAAGAGTTATTCATGTTGCAGTTGGAAAAATGATAATGCAAACAGTAAGCCAGATGGGGAATTTTACAAGCATCTTTTCGTGTCAAGAATGATGCTGTCTCTCTGGGTTATGGGCTGTCTGCTCTCTCAGCTGCTGTTCCTTTCTCCCTGGCTCCCCTCCAGAGCTGTTAAGTTTCGGCCAGGGAAGAAAGGGAGATTTGGACTCCTCTAAGTTTCCGAGTCCCTGGTTTGTTGTGGTGTGTCTGGTGACAGCGAGCTTTGTGTGCAAGAGCGTTGGCATGCAGAGAGCCGGAGCGATTAGCATGCTGATTGCTGCACCCCGACAGAATAAACGGGGCTGCTCTCGCCGAGCTGTGGCCGTGCCACCCAAACAAAAGCCTGGGAGCAGATGCGGGGGTAGCCGTGCTCCTGAATCCTGCTCTATCACGCAGGATGGGCAAGAGCTGAACGCTGCTCAGGCTCCTCTGCTTCCAAGTTTTTAGAAGAATGGAGGTCTCTGCCCCGCACTGTGGTTCTGCTCGTCTCTGACTCTTCACATGGCAGCTTACCTCCAGTTGGAGGTTTGAGATGAGAGGCCTCAGAGAATATCAAGCTGTACGTTATATCCTTACTTGTCCACAGGTCTGCCATTGCAGTTGCTGATCTGGCAACCTGTGTATCTAAAAACTGGTTCTCTGCTGACCTTCAAGATTTATCTGCGTAAGAAAGATTCACTGGTTCTATAAATGGGGGGTGGTGTACATGCAGATATGTAAGTATAAAACATATATTGAATGTATATGCACACATACAGATTTACTCCTCTCAGTGCAAGCCCATGTGTCATCACTCGTATTGGATTTGAAAGAGGCTTCTGTCAGTTTGTGCTTAATCTCTCTTAGTTACTGATTTTTATTTCTTACACTCTGAAAAGTGTAAATCTTCCATAAAAAGTGTTAGAAAATTGGTGTCATTTCTTCTTACAGACAGTGGTCACATAAAGTGTAGCTTCAAGCATTTTATCTGGGGAGAAGGCACCTACCTCTTTTCCCAGTGGCTTCTGACTGGTTAAGGTTGGAGAGGCAAGGGACTGGTTGTGTTAACTAGGAGTAACTGGCTTGTTCATATCGACATGCAGAATGTTTTCTGATCCAACTGCTTGCTTAAATGGTTATGGCCTGTTTCATATCTACCTTTCCTGCTCCCTTCAGAAATCTAGCCTTTTTTTTTCGGCCCATAACATGCTGAACTGTCTTGGCGGCCTACATCGGTAAGTGGGGAAGTTAGCAGGGCTTTTTCAGTTAAAGAAGTTGCCAACATCTGGGTTTGGAAAGACAGAAGTCCACAAGCTTGTTGCAGTTACGTATTTAAAATAAAATAAAATTTAAAAAAAAAAATGTTTCATTTTTATCTGGTTTTCAAACAAAACATGCACTGACTTCTTAAATTATGTGACTGGAAATGTCTTTGGTTCTTCATTTAACTAATGATACAACTGTTTGTGAGCTGTTACTGAGTCAGGGAGAGGCTAGTTCAGTAGGATTATTTTTTTCAATGAAGAAGAATTAAAAGTACTCTATTTTTTTTGCCTTGTTTCAGGATAATATCATCTTATTCTTAAGAGGTTGCAAAGAGCTGGGTCTTAAAGAATCTCAGCTTTTTGATCCTGGTGATCTGCAGGACACATCAAACAGAGTAACCATCAAGTAAGTACAACAGCAGTTTCCAATTAGCATGTTACAACCTCAGATGCATGTGACGCAATAGTAAATATTTAAGGAGGAGCAAAAAGGCTATAGAATTGTCATTTGTATAAAGCAAATAGGAAGCTGAGGTTTGGGAGACCTTCAGCCTTGGGAAGAATACATTGTTCACTTCAACAGGCTTTCTCTAAGGACTGTTGTTTTTCCCAGAGAGATCAACCACAGTTCTTTAAAAATACTGTTTTAGTTAAGCAATGAGATTCTGTGGGACTTAGGGGTTTTCCTGAGTCTAAATTGATGGCATTCTTTTTTGTCTGTCCAACTAATGAACTGTGTAGACTGGGGAAAAAAAAAAAACACAGCTCTGTTATTTCAGATTAAACTGGTTTGAAGATGCATTATAGGACATTTATATACCTCTCAGACAATTCAAGGTGCAGACACGAGCACATTCTGTTTGTTTCTAACAAGCGCTATAGGTTGGGACACAATATTTGGACTGAGGAAGTCTGTGTGAACTCTGTGGACTGGAAATACTGCAGTTTAGATACCTTTTCACCAAAGCTACACACCTACCACCACACAAATTACCACACGCATATTAAGAGATTCTCCTTTGTAATAACTTAATTCCTAATTCATGTTTTTGGGGGGCCAAAGTGATTTTTTTAAAATCTCCTTTTAATCAACAACTTTTTAGCTGTGCTGTGTGCACATCCCTCACTGCAAAGAGTACTAGATCCTTAGACTCTAGTGCTTGTATTTTCAGCATTTCACCCCACAAAATGATTTAAAATATAGATGTGAAACTGGCAGAGAAAGAATTACTGACTTGCCTAAGGTCGCATAGAGCAGGCTTGAATTGAAGTCCATATAGTCATAGAGGTCTTAAATGAGACCTGTTGTCCCTTTCAGGGAAGAATTTGTTATCATTGACTAGAGGAACAGAAGCAGTCAAACTGTATTTTTCTCTCATTTATGTTAATGGCAATCAAGCTCCCCACCCCCCAAAAGCAAGACCACCCCACATTTTCATAAAAGTAACAAAATTTTGTAATCGGTGTTACTGAGTTTTCCTGAAATTTTGGGTCTATCATGTAATATTAAAAAGTTATTGCTCTGCAGACAAGCAAATACTGCTGAGTTGATTGAATGGCCTTGTTTAGTTTGGCCGAAAAGATTTGGCCAAAAAGATCACTAATGAAATTCTGGTCAGACATATCCATTTTAGAAAAGTATATGGAAACAATTTACTAAATTTCAGTGGCATTCTATTTGTTTTTTTTCCCTTCTGGCAGTGGAAGCTGGGCGAGTTTTCATGGTGTTCAAGCACTGTCTGGGAAAATTAAAATGTTCTGATAATCAAATTGGCCACTTTTCTTGTTTTAATGAATAATCTCCCACTTTTTGCTCCTTTCCAAGTTCCTGGCTGTGATATGAGGTTCTTCTCGCCTGTACATACCAGTGAGAGGGAGCTATGTAACGTATTTCTTCTAAATCTGGTATTACTGCAATGAAAGAGGTTCTTCACGACATCCTATAAAATCATAACAATGAGTGGCTGGAGAGAGTCCCAAAACAATCCCTAATCTCCATACGAAACCCTGACCTCCATATGAAACCAGAGAGAAAGGGTCTTTCTGATAAGAAGCTTGAGCTTTTGGGGTTGAGGATGGTGGAGTACCTCGGAGGAGGCAGGTGGAGAGGCTGAGACTAGCATGGAGCTCCAAGGAGAGCTGTCCAGCACGTAAGCAAGTTCAACCAGGAATAATAAACTCTGCAGAGCTGGCTTGGCCCTCCACTAAATATGCTAGATAGATGTGAAATGTCTCACTGGCATGGATGACTTTTTTCCCTGTCAACTCTTCAGAGAAAGCGGCAGTGGAAATGAGCCAAATGTTTTCCTAGCACTGTCCAAGTTCACACTGAGTAACTGAGTTGAGATGTACAAGCCAAGTCCATGACTGTTGTAGAGAAGTATGTTCAAGACTTCAAGTCTTCTGCTAGCTAGTTCCCAAAGCATGAAGGTGATTATTTTTTTTCCCCTCTTTGAAGACTTTTGAGTTATTTTTTAAACATGGTAAAAATGGTGTTTTGTGTTAAAGGATGAATATGACATTACTGCACATGATTAAGATAATGATATTTTTAACGAATTATTTTCATATAGATGTTAATTGAGGTATGCATTAGATCTATTTTTTTTGGATCATTCAGCTTATAAAAGTTATGAGCTAATGCTGTAAAGAATTTCTTGCTGACTTGTTAAACAAAACTCTTTTCCATTGCCATTTTATGAAGAAAAAAATAGGACTGTGTTATTTTTCTTCGTGTATGGGTATTGGTGGATAAAATTTTGGCTTTAAAAAGATGTTATCAAAAATACTTTTGTTTGACATTGCCTATATTTAGGCTTTTGTTGGTCTCACAGATTTAAGTATGTTTATTTTTGGTTTTGTCAGGTAACCTTTAATGCTGGAGTGGACTTACTGTTATAGTAGAAGGCAATTCCATTATAAGTAATCAGGAGACAATCTTTACTAAATCTGAAGTAGTCTTATTTATTTTTAAGCACTTAAATGTGATACATATTTCCTCCATTCTTTTTTGATGGTTTCTTTGCTGAACTTTGAAATGTTGTTTATGTATGCACAAACTTCGTGCTTTGTTGTTTCTAACACAAAACTTCCACCCTTTGAGGAACGTTGGTGAAAAAATAAATGTCCTGTATGAGTGCTTGAGTATACATTCAAAAAATAAATATGTTTTCCACAGCAGGTTCTGTTGTAAGTGGCAGGATCTTTGTTGCTTCACCCATCTACTTTGTTCTTTGTGATGCTTGTTTCCACAGAAGTACCTGTTCTATTTCCTTAATGTTTGATGATGATTTCCTCAGTCTCCCAGGCATGTTCAGTTGCTTCCAGAATCTGTATGGGTGGCATGGTTTATCACAGAGCAGAATCTGACTGTTGGTTTACTGCAGAATGCATTTTAGCAGTGAGGACTTTCATCTTCTTTTTTGAAGAAATCAGCAGCTCTGTTTAAAGGAAATATTTTTGGCACTGTCCTAGTTTAGTGTGAGACCATTATAAACACATTTTCTTTTTGTACCTCCAGAATTCTAATTTAATGATTGAAGTAATGGTGACAAAATACTCCCATGTTATAAATAAATAAATGTGTGAATTACATCTTCTTAGCTTTCACGTGTTTCCAGCCAGCAGAAGCATTCTGCAGGCTTTTGTTAGTGAAAAACGTGATCTGCTGCATACACGCTTTTGGAAAGTGTGTCTGCTTTCTGATTATGTTTTTTTGTTCTTTTTTTGTGTGTGTGTGTGTGCAACCAGGAACATTGACTATAGTAGGAAGCTGAAAAATGTAAGTACATCACTTGGAGTATATATATATTCTTTTTTTTTTTGGTCTGGTTAATCTTGTATTTGGCCTTAGCAAGCATTATGTCAGTAGAAACTGAGTACAGATGAGTATTGCTGAAAAGTTTCTGAATACAAACCTAGGTAAATTCTACTGGAAACTTAGGTGGAGCTGCTATTGCAAAGCAGCCTTACAGTAAAAATAAAATGGAGAATGTTTGTCTCTTCTTAGATAAGGGATAAATAATGTGATTTCTGTGCTGTCCATTGTAGTTTTCACCGGGAACAGTCTGACTTGCCCATGAAGCTATGCTTTTGTAGCCTTTCATGAGTATATAGGCATAAAGTACATTTGCACAAAGCATTTAAAATTAAGCAAAATGATCATTAGATCTGGATGCAAGTCTTTACTATCAGATTTGCTAGCTTTCTTATTGTTCTTCCAAATAAATGTTTCCCCAGAAAGGCTAATTCCATTTAACTTCAATTTCTTGTTAATTTAAGCTAATGACAATGGTAATGGATCCTGTAATTGCTACGTGGAGAAGAAAATGGCTAAACTTTGCTGGTCTCAGAGTTAGTTACTGTCCTAAAGCCTAGCAAGCTGTCTGTCCTTAGTCAGCTGTAAACTCCTATAAATGCAATTTTATATTTGGCTCCCATTCCTATAAACTGCTAGGAAATTCCAAGGCCTTTTCCTAATAAATTTGCAAGTCAGTAATCATGACTGCAGGTAAAAAATAATAAAAAACATGAAAAGTACCCCCCTCAAAAAAAAATTATTTCATCCTGTCTTTCCCATCATCATTAGGGTAATATCTTCTGCATCCAGCACACAAAGTTGTAGGGGAGGAGTTCAGCTTTGGCATTTTAGCACTCTTGTGGGCACTGGCTAAATGTCTTTGTCCAGATGTATTGTTTTAAAGGTAAGGTTTCAAAAGTATCCTCCACAATGTGCTTGTAGGCAATATATGCTTTCCAGGTGCATGATCCTGCAACCTCGGCTGGCAGCCAGTCGGAATTGCTTGCAAATGTGAGATTATTTGGAAAAAAAATTAAGAAGTGGATAAAGAAAGGAAGAAGAGAGACAGCAATCAAATGCTAGCAGAAATAAATAAAAATACCACAACCTTCATCAAAGAACTGAATGGAAAAATTAATTGGACAGTTTCCTGGTTACTAGGAATACTGTATTTGCAAGTGTTTTCACTTAACTGGAGAGCATGCACTGTAAGAATTTTTTACGTAAATTTGTTGAGTAGTGCTGGTTGAGGGAAAACAGCTCAGATAAAGGTTGTTTCAAGACAAATAAATCCATATTGGCAAAACCCACCTCCTTTCCCTCAGCACAGTAGTATCAATTTGGATGTAATTTTAAAAACAAGGGGAAAATTTCTGAACTTTATTAAAAATGTTATTCAGTTATTGCATGGCATGTATATTATTTATAAATGAAAGGGAAATACAAACTCTGTTTATATACAAAGCATAATATATTTTACATTATGCACCACAGTTGTTTTTAAACAGGGGATTTGTATGACACATGCTCTGTCCTTTTCTGGCAGGGCCTCAGCTGGAGTGCTCTGTGATTTTGGACATCACACTTAAATGAAAAATGGGGATGTTAGAGAAAGTTGACGAGAGAAGGCTAATCAGAAGTCTAGCATATGTGACTGAGGAGAAAACAGTGAAGCAATGTGGGTGCACGTTTTAGGGAAGAAGAGTTTGACAGAGATGTCTGTCCCCAATGCCCCACTTGAGATTTCTCCTAGTCCTATGTTCTTTAGTTCGTATATAATATGAATTATATGGCCTTGTCCCATCAAAACATAAAATCTTATATTTCAGTTTATTTAACTTTTTTGAGACAGGTAATGGCAACTATTATTTATTATTGGTTGCACATCTTTTCCACATCAAAATATTTCCTGTTTGTTCTGCAGTTAAATACTTTGCAATGTCACGGAATATGCCAAAATAATGAGCATTAAATGAGAAAAAGCCCTAAGTTCTGAGGTGATAGTTTGGCATTTTTAACCAGTGCAAAACACTGAACTGAATTGCCTTTGACAATCAGTTTCCAGTCCAAACTGCTGCTGCACAGGTACCATTAAAGACATTACTTTAAGTGGAGGCATATGTTGGTGCAGAGAAGGACTGTTTGCTTTCCCTCCGTGATATAAGTACCAGCATTTTTTGAGTTGTTGTGTTTGACCGTCCTAAGCATCTTCATTTCTCCTTTCCTAAAACAAGTGCAACACCAGCAGTGTCAGATCGGATTTCTTTGCTACCTAAAGGAGTGAAAGGGTATATAAACATTTGCAAGAACAATTCCTGGCTTTTTTTCCGCACTAGTTTTGAAGTGACTTTTGAGTTATGGAGGGACATCGAGTCAGAACTTGAATGAAACCATAAACTCTTTCTGCTTTAGTCTGATAGAAACAACCAAATGCTCATGGCTTTTGATTAATCTTGGGCTAAGCATTTCGTAAGCTAGCAGAAGCCTGGAAGTAGATATTCCTGTGTCATCTGGTTAATTGCATTAAGATGATTTAAAATGGAACTACATTTTCTGTCCTTGAAATAGGCAGGCACACATTTCAGTTGTTTTATTTATTCCATTAGTCTTAATGGTTTTAATTAATCACCATTAGTATTAGTGCTCTCTAGGGATTTTTTTTCCTATTGGATTTACAAACATATATATTTATAAGTGTGTCTTCTAGACAGTTTCAAATTTTTTGCCTAGTTTTTCTATTCAGATTTATTTTTGCTCTTTATTTTCCAGGCAGACATGATAGTTTTGGTTTTTTATAAAAATACCAGGAAGATAATGTGTTAAGTTACATATTCTGTAGGACTGCTTAAATTTTCATAGTTACCTGATGTATTTATGTTGAACCACTGGCAGACACTTCCCTTTCAGTTCTGATTTATAACAAAATCTTGTGCTGCTCTGCAGTTTAGAATAAACTGAAGGGAAGTGAATTTAGCTAAGTGACTGTCTAGATGGCTTCAATTAATTCTTATTAACTTCTGCAGGTATTAGTCACCATTTATTGGCTAGGGAAAGCGGCAAACAGCTGCACGTCATATAGTGGATCAACCCTGAACCTGAAGGAGTTTGAAGGTTTGCTGGCACAAATGAGAAAGGTATCTTTTTGTTATGTTTTCGGAATGGAAATTTCATTTGAATTATTACTCCCATAAATAACCTGTTTGTTGCTAAATATGAGAGAGAGGTGGGGGGCTGGAGTACAAATTACTTAGTAAAGCCCTACCTCCTTCGAAAATGCTTCTGACTGTACCGAGCCATGAACACAACTTTAAATGGCAGCCAGCTTTGTGGTGATATCAGTGATGCAGCACATGATGTCTAACAGGGCTTTAGAATTGTCACGTCGCTCTGTCATCTTAATTTCTGTATGTTTTCGTTTGATTTCTTTTCATGTATGACGCAGAGTTTCAGCTAGAAGGACTGAGACTCAAAAGTGAGGTGACAGAACTCACAGGAGCAGAGATTTTTCTTCTTTAAGACATTCAGTCTCATGGGCAGCTCTTTTGTTTTTAAGTTGCAACATAAAGCATCAAACCAAAGTATCTAAATAAAGCTGAAGGGTAGAAGGAGGAGATAATGTTTCACCAAGAGCATAGTTGTGATGAATGTGTGTTTTGCCAAGCTCTAAATTCTGGCTGAAATCGTATCTGGTGGTTTATGATGAGCTGGGCTCTGTTGGAAAGGAAAAGTTGTGATTGCTGTAGGGTGGTTTGGGGACTTTTGCTTGAGCACTCCGGCATGCCCTGAACCTCGACATGAGACACTTAACCTCAGTAATGGTTAGCGTTGATATCCAAGCATGCATTTACTGGAGATGGAAGGGGCAAGGAGCAGACATGGAAGAAGAGGGCAGCACCGAGTGCTAGCATTGCATATGTTGGAGGTAGTGCTCATGAAAGCCCACGCAGATATGTTCTCCAGCCCATAGAGAGCTTTGTGCCTGCTACTCTCTTCTCATCTCATGTAACGGCCAGGTCACCACAGGCAGTAGGGTTTGGGGACCGTGGGAGACTCTTTGCTCTTTACTTTCGCTGAGCTCTGTGCTACTGCATCTGCACCAGCTGCAGCTCTTCATTCTGGGACCTCAGAGGGCCAGCACCGGGTTGCCACTGGAGAAGAAGAAATACTTGGCTGACTGATAGCAGTTCCTACAGCCTGGTGTGACCAGACAGCCTTAACTAGACGGGTAAAATCCCTGTTTGTGAGCCCAGTTCCTGTGAATAAGCAGGTGGAAATGGAGAGGAAAAGAGAACATCCTGCTTCTCTGTAGATGTTTATTTTGGTCTTCATTTGTAATGACCTGTGCAACCACTCGGGATTTTGCTGCTCTTGAGTGATATGTCTGAACCTAAGCAATAAAGAAATGAAGTTAATACTTGAGATGTTTCCAAGTAGAAGATGCAGGGAAGGAGCAGTCCCCACTGCAGAGAGTCTGAAAGGTGAAAACAGAAACAGACAAGGGAGCTAGCACAGAAAAATTGCCAAAGTGCAGATTTTTGTGATGTTAGTGTTGCATGGTATCATAGTTTATTTAATGTTTAATCTCACAGCACGAAGCTCCTCTTTTTCGAGGTGATGTTTACCTATCAAACTAATCATCAGAGCATTTTGGAGGTCCTATCTTGAGCCCTTTTGTGGGCTGAAGTAGGCTGGGGCCAAAAGGCAGCGTTCTCCAGGGAGCTGATGGTCATGGGGCGCCTGGCTGGGCAGTGCAGAGCGCTGCAGGCCGAGCACAAAAGGAAGAGACTGGGACTTGATTTGTTGCAGATGTTAGATCTGGGAGCAGAGTAGAGATCTCATAAAAGCTGAAAGCCCTATGTTCTTTCAGTGTAAAAACAGAGCACTTTGCAGTCCTGAAAAGTCTTGTTTAGGTGGTAGTGTTACAAGGGCCACTGGCGACTTATTTTAAGGTCACCTCCCTGCTCCTGTACCCCTGCAGTATTTCCCACTGGCAATTGTGGGCTTGTCTGTTACTGCATTTGAAGAGGATTTGGTTGTAAAATAGAACATGTTAATCATGCTGTGCAACGCTCTGATGTTCTTTATAGCTGAGCTCGAGTGATGAAAAGACACTTTATCGCATTCTGTACTGGCATTTTTTTCCACAGAATTTAATAATTAAATCTACCATAAATTCAGTCTGGTTTTGTTTTTCTGTTATAAATTCTCTCTGCCCTCCTTTTTTAATAAGCAAAACAAAAGACAGCTCGGATGTAAGTTGTCTTGGACTCATCTTTTTCTACTTCTCATACTGAAAGGGCTATTCATTTCTAATTTTATTCATGCTACTCTGTTTTTAATTTCATTAACTATTTGGCTATGTGTTCTTCTTTACTTTTAAACTAGAAATTCCCAATGACAAAACATCCATGGCTTTTTGATTATATTTAGTGGGTGGAACTTCCTGCAGAAACACGTCTTGTATTTGGCAATCACACTTTTACTACCACTCAGTGACATACTGTGTTTTTAATTAGATAATATGAAAGACTAATGTGCTGTTGTGTGTCATGTTACGGTGTTATCAGTCCCGCAGATAACCACTTTCCCATTGATAACGTTTGGGAGATGAAGTTTGTTCAAGGCAGGACAAGTACCCGTCTGTGAGATGGCGTTGGGCTGGGAGAGTAGCTTTGCCAAGGGGAAGGCTATAAAGAACATGTTTACAGAAGTCTAGGATCCCATCCTGGTGCCTGCCTCCTAATTCCTGGTGAGCAGCATGCAAAATTAACATCAACAGGCCTTTGAAAGTAGGGTCTGCAGAACTCATTAGTTCACAATTGGACTGTTTTCAAACTCTGGGAGATAGTGAATGCAGGATGGGGCTTTTTGCCCAAGTTTTAAGTCCCTGTAGGTGCTGAGCAGTTCTGTGTCATTCAAATACAGTAATTTAGGAAAATGGAAGTGTGCCTGAGGATTGAGAATAGCTGATTGTTAGGAAGGGATGAGGGGATTTAGGGAATTTGGATTTTTTAAAAGATTTTTGGATCATGTCACAAAAGGGATTTTGATAGGATTTTGGGTTTGTTCTTGAATGTGTGTAACTCGTACAGATTTCAGGGAGGCAGATCTTTGTTATCTAGTGTTTCTGCCAGTATTTTAGTTCACTATGCAGAACTGGGGAAGGAAATTACATAGGATTCAATTACAGTTTTGTTAGATGTATTATTTTTTGGTTTTGGAAAATACTTTCACTTCCATTTGCAGTGAGGTTGCTTACTGACATTACCACAGTTTAGCTTGCCCTTAGGCGACCTTTGCCGCTGCCCTTAATGTGGTATTTTGGCAGAGTAATAGCGAGTGGCACTAATTAAGCTTTCTTCCTGAAAAGTCTGCAGGACATTGTGTCTGATCTCTGTGTCTCGCTTTGAGCCTCCCTCTTTTCCAGCACGGAAGCTTTGGTGTGTTACTGCAGGGCTCTCCTCCCTCCATCACTTCTCCAGCAAACCCGCTTTCTTGTGGAGGTGGCCTGCCATAGCGTGCTGTGAGGTTCTTGATTGATCTTCTTATTGGCGATACGAGTAACTGGTAAAACCTTAGCGGTCAGGGACAGTGGGAGCTGTGCTCAACATAGCCATTGTGCTCCAGCTAGTGGTAAGCAGGGGGTGCTTCTTAATTAGGAATTAATATTTAAATGCTGCTGAGGAAAAAAAGAAGAAAAAAAAAAGAAAAATCACATTCCAGCCTCTCTGGGTCACAAAATGTCAGTCTGATAATGGCACCCACATCTCTGACTTTACTTACTGTTAAGGGAGAAAAAAACAGATTTATCTTTGAATAAACATAGTTATTTTTATTTTTTCTCAGCCTGTGCAATTGTAATTAATGTTAAGACACTCTCTAAAACAAGGGATTTATTATAATGCAAGGGTGAGGATGGCTTCTATTGACCTTTTCCTCTGCTGGAGTTTCAGTGTTTTAGTATGTGCTGCTTGCACTGGAAAGAATTTATAATCACAGGGCTGTCAAAGACTGCCATTGTTCTCCCTGCTCTGAACATGTGGGTCAGCTACAAGTGCTTTCATATCCCCCAGAGCCAGGAGCTGGCAAAGAGTAAAGAGCACAACTGAATTCTTCAGAGGCATCAGGAAAAGCATTTTGCATATTTTTCATTGCTGATTGCTTCAGAAAGACATCCCTCTTTCATAACAGGAATTTCTCTTCAAGGTAGAAGGAGGCTGGGGCACACTGCTTCATTATTTTGCCGAGCTGAAGCAGCAACAACAAATGCTGTCTGCTGGTGTCCCAGCCAGATACAATAGATGGGCAAGGGGAGGGGGGGATCTTTTGGAAAGCAGCAGACTTAATCCTGACGCAGGCATGATGTTAAAATTGTAGTGTCTTTGCCTGTGCTATGGACTGTGGACGACAAGTCAAGTTTCAGGTTACTTTTAGTTTTGATCAGTTTGTTAACTTGCCTATTGCAACTTTTTCTCAGTTCGTCATACTAACCTAATGAGCGGGGTTTCCTCTTAATCAGCATAAAATTTGGGTTTATCGCAAGCTTGCACTTTTGTTTTGAAGGGAGAAGGGGCAGAAAACAAGGAAACTCTTTTTTGGGGAGGAGATTTTTAGTATTTGGGAAGATGCTTTGTTATCTGATGTGCAATGGATCTCATGGGTATGTCAGAGGCTTCTTTATGAAGAGGTACCTGCTGTACTTCCATGTAGGAAACGGAGGATATCGAGAGCCCAAAGCGCAGCATTCGTGACAGTGGCTATATAGACTGCTGGGACTCTGAACGCAGCGATTCCCTCTCCCCGCCTCGCCACGGCAGAGATGATTCCTTTGACAGTCTGGACTCCTTTGGCTCCCGCTCGCAGCAGACACCGTCTCCAGATGTAGTGCTCAGAGGGAGCAGCGATGGTAAGTACCGGTCACAGTGCGGCACATGCATAACGTTGTGGCATATAAGTAATGTTTCTGGCACAAATGTGCCGTTTGGAAGCCGGACACAACCTCTGAATCGTGCTAATCCAGTGGAAGAACTTCTCTGTGAATGCTGATTTGTGCTCCCTGAGGTTTAGATGACTTTGCGAACAACTTACTTGAAGTCTGTCTCAGTTAGGATAACATAGCATTGAAAAATGAGTTACGTCATTGCAGTGTAATTTTATGATGAGAAGGGTGCTTTGCTGGGTTATGGTGTAAGAAGATGTTAAACAGACTCATTTTAACTTATAAAGTGGGATGGAGAAAGAAATAAAAGCGCAAGAACAAGGGAAATATTGAAGTGAATAAAATGTTTGCCTAAGTAAACCCTGAGCAGATAAATGCCGTAGAAATATCTTGGAAATATCTGATACTTGACAGAGTTTTGAAGCCTGATGTACAACATTTTACCACATGCCAGATTTATTTCCATGGTATTTAGAAAATTGGGTAAATTAATAGCTCCTGGCATCGGAGCTGTGGCCATCTTTGTACACCTTTGAGTAAGGACATGCAGCTCTACGCTTACAGAAGGGATGCTCCTTGTCTGCCTTTCTTATCTGATTCCCAGAGACTTCCAGAGGCTTGTAAACACAATGTGCTGGATGAGGAAGGATTTGTTGGAGGTAGGTCTGGAGCATGTACTTAGGTTACCTGTCAGGGGCACGATTCTGGTTCAGAGCAAAAAGGTGCTTGATTGAGGCTCCCTCTGCGTGGTTGCATTCCCGATGAATGGATGAATCAGTCAGACTTCATCATCAGATGAAGTTATGTTCCACACATGAATCGCTTTTCCTTAGTAATGTTATTTATTTAATAAAAATAGGAAGGGCAGAAATACTTTTTGGTAGGAACCAGATGTTTTGGCAGTGTGAAAGAAACTGGTGCTAATCCTAACCGGACACATGAGAGATTTCCTGAGGTGATGGGGAACTCCTTAAAACTAAAGAGCTGGCAGGGAGAGCTGCTGTCACAGCTGAATTATGGAAGAGCTGTGGGGAAAGCAGGGCTAAGATCTGCTCTGCTGTTTTGAGTGGCCTGTGGTATTGGGGCTGTTGCTGGTTCACCATCCAGAACCAGCTGCTGGATCTGATTCCCTGAAGCAGTCTCATGCCCCCTCAGACACTGAACAGAGCAAATGAGACAAAAGTGTGGTATTGGCAAATAGGAACACCTCACATGTCCTAATCAAGAAGTGTTGCTCCATCCTGGGTGCTCTAGGAGTGTCCAGTGTCCCTGCCTACTTGAAACTGGTAGGGAGGCAGTTATATATGTCCTGGAGCTGCTTCCTATTAAATTCTGCTGTATTAGCAGATTTTAGTAAAGTTTTGTCGTCCTTTGTTTGCCACAGCTAAGACATACTATCTTGTCACATTCTTGAGTCCATAACAAAGACAAAAAAAGATGCCAGCATATAAAGCTTGTTCTTAAAAATTGGTGTTTAACCGTATCCAGGCCCAGGGTGGATGCAGATGCTGTATGCACACGTATGACTTGTCCAGCCGGCCCTTTCTGATATGTCCCATTTTCCATGCTTGCTGCTGCTGTAACTTCACAGCTGTCTGCTCCAAGAGTGGCAGGTGAGGTGTAGCTTGGCTGACCTCTTTTCTATGAAACCTCTTCCTCTGGCCTCAGCAGGCCAGTGTTTCACTCAGCTGCATGTAGGTTTTGATAGAAATAATGTAACTGGATGGAGGAAAAGGTTCTGCTTGCATTACTTCTCTCTCCATTCAGATAGGAGCTTTATAAACCTAATAATATGCTAGCGAAATTAAGCTATGATTCCTTCCACTCCTAGGAAAAAAAAATTAATGAATAGAGATCATTTAAGTGATCCTAAGGTGATTGGTTTAGGTAGAAGCAGTAAGTAGTACTACCTTCACAAATGGCATCTGCAGTTAGCCCGACTGTTTAGGTCCTATGTGGACCCTGTCCTTTGGTAAAAACCGAACAAAACCAGTGGTAGAGCAGAACAGTTTGTTTAAAACCCAGTGGTGCTGCAGACTGACTTGCCCATAGGGTTGCTAATGTACTCAGGAATGAATAAAATCATCTGCTTGGCTGGTGGTTGTGCATGGATCCTTGTATGAAGGATCTGTGCGTGTCTGTGGTGTGTAACTGCTTGTTACGGGTTCTGGAAACTGGCTGCTGCCGCTTCTACTTGGAAATACAGAACAACAAAGTTAACGTTATAAATGTAGAGCACAACTGCATCTTCCATTTGGTGCTTTGACTTCAAGTGCTTTTTTTGCAAATTTGAACTGAAAATAATTTCACAAGTAAAATATGAATAATTAAAGAAGCTGTTTGTCTTTGAAGCTCAGCTTGGGGATGCTTGTAGGCACATCAGTAATGAGGGAGAGGAATCTGTTTTAATTCCTCTGCTACTGTGGTTATTCCAGCATTTCTGTCTGCTGGTTCAAGACTGGTTTTCGTGTGATAAAAAAAATAAACACCAGAACAAAGTCAAGAGCAAACAGAATAGCGAATAGCAGTAAGGGATCTTTTAATTTTCTTTTAGCTGCTCTGTGGCCCTGCTCAGTCTAATGATACTACAGCTCTTCAAATGTCAGCTATCCTCAATCACCCATGATTGTGTGGTCCTGTCTCCACTTTTTGTTTAGATATAGACTCAGGTTACCAATCGTGGGACTAGTTATCATATAATCTTAACCAAAATTGTTTAAGCAAAAGATTACTGGCAAAAAGTGCGTTGTGGTTTTTGTCTAACTAGCTCATTTCCATTTTGTCTTGTCTTTTCTTACTGTTTGTTCCATTTCAGTCTTCTTCATCTCTCTCCAAGCAGACATTGAATAACTCAATCTGCTGCAAAAGCTCTTTGCAAATAACATTCCTAGCATATTCAGACCTCTTTTCGTTCCCCCACTTTGAATTATACACAAGCTACTTGTGATTTTTATGACTTCATTGTTTTCAGTTGTTCATTAGGTAGCTCAGTGAATTAGCTAGTAATTTACTAGCTTGGTGAATTAGCAAGAGGACACAACCTGGGTGGCTTCCCCTCACCCAAAAAGAGGAACACCTATTGCATATGCAAGTGTTGTAAAGGGGCCAAGGGCCAGGGACATCCAACACTCCAAAGCTGGGAGAAGATTTGGACACTGGTGGGAGAAATGGCTGAATATGCTCCATTTCACTTAGTGTAAACCAGGGCCTGTGGTGATGTTACGCTGCTGGGAGAGAACTATTTACGTAACGTCTTTGTGAATTACTTAAAAAGATTCACAACGGTGCAGGGAATCTAGTGAATGTCTATGAAGTGGCTTCCAAAATGGCTATGAGGGCAGTTTCACTGCAACTGGTCTTTAAGGTATTTGTCCTATCATTTGGGAGTTTTCTTTTTAAGTTGGAAAAGTCTCGCCTAAGTTTCTGTGTTTTAAATGGATTGTAAATATCAGGAAGTTCATTTGAATGAAATAAAGTAGTCACTCAGCTATGTTGATCTTCCATCCTGTTCTCTGTAACTCTGGATTTGGCTGTCTCACCTTCTTTCTTTTCTTTGTCAGCAAGTATTCTTCAATCTTTGCTGTATTGATCTGACCTCTAAACCCTGAGATCCCTTCCTTCTCTCCTTGCACCTTTCCATCAGAGGATCGGGGGACTCTGTCTATTTTGCAGTCTGCTAGACTGATTGACCAGGCAACTGATGAGACTGGAGAGAGACCATCCAAGTCTTCTGGTTTATAGCAGCTGATGCTTATTCTCAGATTTTGATCAAAGCTGATGCTGTGTGCATTCAGATTGCTGTTAATATGTGTGTGTAGAAACATCCACAGATTCCTGCCTTTCTGTAAATACACAGCATGCAACCTTTTTTTGCTTGAGCTTGTGCTGTGCACATTTAAGTCTAGGTTCAAGAGTGTGAATCAGGTCAAACGTACCCATATGTACAACTAGGAGTCATTCAGACTTTAGTCAGGTAAGCTTCTGTAGCTGTCCTGTGTGATTGACAAGTCTGGCTTAATGTGACCCTGAGTTTTTTTGACATGACCTGTGGCTGAAGATGAGTTTTTCAGGGGTAGAAAATAGGACTGATGGAAAAAAATGTTTATTGTCTGTGTAGATATTATGGCTACTACCTTCAGTGACTGATTTTAAAATATAAATACAGGTAAATGTGGCCTCATTTTTTGGTGCTCACATGCTAAATGTAATTTTTTTGGTGGTGTCTTCTCTGATTTATATTTAAAAAAACCCCAACAACTTGGATGAAAGTGGAAACAAAAGGAATTTTTTTCTCCTTCCTCTCTAGGGAGAGGAAGTGACTCGGAAACTGACCTGCCACACAGAAAGATGCCAGATGTGAAAAAAGATGATATGTTGGCGAGGCGGACCTCACATGGTGAACCTAAATCAGCTGTGCCTTTTAACCAGTACCTCCCAAACAAGAGTAATCAGACTTTCTATGTACCTGCTCCACTTCGGAAAAAGAAAGCTGAACGAGAAGAGTACCGAAAGAGCTGGAGCACAGCGACTTCACCGCTAGGAGACAGACCTTTCAGGTAAGATTGGCATCTCCAACTTCTCCCTTCCTCGGTCATGATGCTTTAACACTTGCCTAATTTCCATTCTTTTCATAAGGCATATGAAGCTGTAATAAATCTCTTGCTAAGATGGTACTGATAAATTGTTTGTAGCAATTGGCGAAGGTGGTAGAAATGCAATAAGTGGAAAATCACTGTCTTGATGTCATTATTTACCATACAATGCAATGTATAGCTTGTGTTTGACAGGATGTTGGCTTATATAAGTATCCTGGATGTTGACTCAAACCCAAGGCTGAACAAAAATGTTCTGGATGATGTGTCTCAGTTTTCAAGACAGTTACTCACTGACAAATGATACTTACAAGTAACGTTTGGTGTATTAAACTGAAATAGGTAATATTTTTGCTGTATTTGCATAAAATCAATTTATTTACATGTAATATTCTATACACCAGTACAGTTTATATAGCTGTCACTATGTGTTTCTGCATGCTGGTTTTGTAAACTGATACTTCACTTTTGATTTGGCCTAAGAAGCAACTTCCATTAAATAAAGCGTAACTATCTTCCCGGATTATTCATCAGAATGTCCTTTGGTGTTTTCATATTGAGAAAATGTGCTTACAATAATTAAGTGTATGTGTTTCAGACATAACATACATTAAACTACCTTGTATAATTCAATAGCAAACCCCACCCTGAAACCATAGAAGAAGAACAAAATGAAACATCAGGACTCTGTGAAAAGGAGAAAGTAGACTCCACAGCTCCTGAGACAAGCTCCCTTAAAAGTCAAGTAGATTTGAATCAAAATGAAGGAAAGTCCATAGACCAGTCTCCTTCATGTAGTGCAAAAGAAGCATCAGCACCCAAGGGGAAAGATGCAGAAGAGATCAGAAAGTTAAGAAGACTCGAACAAGCTGGCATTAAGGTCATGTCAGCAGCCCAGCGCTATGGAAGGTTAGCCCAACGGTGTGGGAAATTGTGCACGCTTCACATTTTTAGGGTTGGCTGAAGTGTGGATTTCCTCGATCCCCTGTGATTTCACTTCTCCTAACAAAAATCTGGTCTGCTAAGCACTCACAATTACTAGTGAACGTCTTGGTCTGAAAAGGCTTGTGATGTGGCAGCTGTGGATTGCAGAGTTGTATGATGCTAACTGCATTTGTGTGGAGAAATTGTATTGATTTACAGCATAATGTAAACAGACTCCAAGAAAACTACTACACAGACTACTTGTCACCTTCCACCTAATACTTTCTTGCATTTAGTAAAAAATACATATAAATGTACGTTAAAAATGCCTTGTTTAGGCAAAAGTTTCAGAAACTTACTTTATTTGTTGCTGATGGGATAGTTTAGTTTACTGGACCACACTCTTTAGGTGGTTAATACTTTTAGCTGTGTTGCATTTATTTGTAACGGCAGGAACTATAAAAGTACAGTGCTTGTTAACACGTGTACCAGTTAAAGCATGGAGGCATAGTTCAGCAGTCATAATTTGACTGACTTTGGCATGGAGTATTAGTAGTTATTCACTTATTACCAGTGTTACTTGGTTTTGGATGTTGTTCAATTTGGTTATTTCCTGTTCTTTAACCCAAGAGCTGAATGATGGCTAGGCTCACTGCCAACGCCTTTCCATCATCTGATATCAGATCCTTATGAAAAATCTCTTTTTCTCATGGGGATGGCCTGCAAAGCAAAGTTTTAACCAACATGTCAGAAGACTAGGCTCTTATAAAGGATCAAAACGGTTTGGCTAAAGGGTGTCCAAATGTCCTTCTGTCCAAAACATTTTATTTAGGATTGTGAGGTGAAATCCTGACAGTGAGTAGTTTCTACAGTCTGAGCTTTGAAATGTAGTAGTAAAATGTAGAGCTTTTATGTGATACATCTTGTTTCTAGATACAGTGAAGCTTGTCTGGAGCCATATACGAATGTGCCATATGCAGATAAACCAGTCACAGTATATACACTGTCATATGTCCTCTTCTCAGGTTTGCTTCACTGTTGTCAAGCTGTAATGAACAAATATTTGTGTGTGGTTGTGGAGTACTACTTTAACAAAGCCAGATACTAATGAAGAGGAACTATCTGTCATAAATTAGTCCTTCAGGCTCCGTTTGTGTGCTAGTCCATCAGGAATCCATAAACCAGTAGGATACTAGCCTGGTCCTGTTCTGAGTCCCAGCTATAATATTAATGGTAGTAATGTAGTACTATGTAGTAAAATGCAGTAATAGTTGTGTTTGGCAGTGCAGTGCACAACAAATAGTACTGTTTGCATTTGCATTTGGAGGATGCTTACCACATTGAGAGGCCCTTTTCTAACCCTGAGCTTGATCTACTGGCTTGATCTCCACAAAAGAAGAACATGTGATCAAATGTGTGGTTCTTTGGCAGGAAATTGGGTCTCCGCTTTCCTTGGACAATCTGTTCTCCTGACAGGACTGAAGGAGAAGGGAGCAGAAATAGCAAGCCATTTTCCTTCCTTGCTCTCAGTGGAAGCAACTTGTGGAATTTGGCAGCTGGAGGAAGGAGGAGCTGCTGGTTTTCTGCCCCAGCTGAGGGTCAAGGAGCAGATCTTTGTAGCCCAAGCTTCACCATAGTGAAGTAGAAGCCTGCTCCTGGGGATTGTAGGAAGACACAGCAGAAAAGGCACTGGGGTCAGAGGTCTGTAAGGAAAATTATTTGTATGTGTAAGTGGAAGAATAGTGGGTAAGGAGAAGGGAAGAATTTAGTAGTGACACTTTAAGATACAGAGGAGCATTTAATCATCTTTCTTAATGTCTCATTATCATTCCCTCTTCTTTGAACCTCTCCATTTTCTCTCTCTTCTTCTTGGTATCAAATTCAAATTTCCATGTACTAATGGCACTGAGCAATTTTCAATCCCTCTTGTTTCTCTATTCTGGTTTTTTTTTTTTTCTTTCACCCCTCTTACTCCCTCGTCTTTGTATGATGCCAGCCTCTCTGTTTTTTCACCTGAGGTTGTCAGTTGTCTTCTGGTTCCTCTAGGTTGTTTACAGGCAGTTTCCTCTCAACATATTGACCTCTGGAGGACACCCACTGTGCCTTTGAGTTCTACAAGGCATCTAATTGTTCCTGAAGCTGAAACTCAGTAGGGGAGCTTTTTGAGTCCAGCACAGGAAGGATTTGAACTTGTATGCAAATGTGGGTTTTGCTTGGAATCTAAGTACTTACCTCCATTGCTGTAGCATGTTCTAGGAAAGGGCTCCATTGAACTAGATGCTATACAAATGCATGCCAAAAAGCATTCCTCCTTCCCAAGGGAGTGTACTGTCTCTTTATAGCATGTTGTTTTATTGATGTGTGATCTTCCTTGCTAGCTTATTGTCTGCACCTGTCTCTTAGTTACACTATTGTATCTGAAAGGTAAGGATCACATTCATGGGGACTCCCTGTAAAGAGCAGAATTAAATGTGTTGTAATAGATGATGGAGAGGAGGATGTAAGAGAGAAATATGAGCAAACGTTTTTGGCATGTTCGTTGCAAAAGGGACATGGACTCTTATCTTGACAGTGCATAAGCGTGCAAAACCCTTTCGTTATTCCAAAATGCAATATAAGGATCCACAAGCCTGTACAGGACCCTGCTTCAGGGAGTGCAAATGCCTGCAGTCTGATGCTTTGGAAGCACCTGCTGTACCAGTGTAGACCCAGGTGTTGTTTCTGCAAGGGCTGGGGGTGGGTGTGCAAGAGCAATTTGCAAATATGCAGGGCATTCTGGTCCATTGCAAGCTTTAAATATACAGTCTTTGCTATCTCTATGGTAAACTGGACTTAAAATACACTTTTGAGACCATCACAGACTGATTCAGGAGACCCCAAAATGTCACAGCTAATCTCTGATTCCATTAAAAACAAAATGTAAATGGATGGAAAATATTCTTAACCTAGAAACTGATTGCTGAAGTCTAGTTACATACTAAAAGCTGTAAGTTCTTCAGTTATTCACTACAATGACGCACAGTTGCTCTTTTGAATATTGTAAGTCTATATGTTGCCAAAAACATCTTTCTCAGAAATGCTACGTTTCATATTCTCAAGCTTCAATAGCATTGGCGGACATGAGACTGAAAAAATCCAGCAGTTTTTACTAAATAATCACTTTGTAATACATAGCTTTTAAAAACTAAAAGCATAAAACAATACCCCCAACCTAACCAGCTGAATAAATACTCATCTTACTGATTTTAAGTAAATATAAACAAGATTTAATGGACTATTATGTGATTTTTATACATGCATTTTATGTCCAGCGTCCTAAAAATTATTTCCAAATTGCTCGATTTCAGAAAAGGGTGTCACGGTCCACTCGGTGGACTCGTGATGGTTCGTTAAACTCTGGTCCTGAAGTGCAAAAAACAAAGGCAAAAACACCAAAGGGGTTTTGTTTCAATCAATCAGTGTAACTTTACTATGTTGCCTGTAAAGCGGCATGTGATAGGTAAAAAGAGTGAAGAGGGAAAGAAAAGGTAAAGTAAAAGAGGGAGAGAATTATAGCTACCACCACGGGTCCAAGGCGTCCCTATGGTCCCAGGTCCGGCGGCGTCCCGTCGGTCCTCCGATCGTTGTCATCTCCGGTGGGGAAAGCTTCCAAACTTTGGCTGTTAAGGAGCATCTTTTATGCTGAGCAACACACCTTGCCCCCTCCTCTGTCCCATGGACCACTGCCAACCTCTGCCTTCCCAAGCAAGACTTCTGCTGATGGAGAGTGTATGCAAAGCATGCAGCAGCTCAGAGTTGTCTGTTCCAGCTGTTTCTGAACCTGTTGTGAACAGAGATGCTCATGAGGGAGAGGGACAGCAGATCCCTTTGGAGCACCATCGGCCAGTGTTGTCTGTTGCCTTAAATGAAATCTTGATCCTTCACAGAGATCTACAGAAAATGTTGCCTTTGGCTAATTTGAGAGCATGCTCTCCACATCGCTGATGAGGGGGGAACCTCTGCGTTGCAGCGTAACAAGGCGAAGGCAGGCAGTTTCATAT